CCCCAGCGCACCCTAACAGCGAGGTTGCGGCTATGATACAGGGCTGGCCATCAAAGCCTCCTGTGTCTGAATCCCACCTCCTCCCATTAATCGTGGGCAAGCTGGTTCCCCGCTCCGGGCTTCAGTTTCCCCATCAAGCCCCTGCTGTGCAGGGTTTTGTGTGTACCTGGAATCCAAGTAGGCAAGACAGGTAGAGATTGGGCGAAAAGTTGGGGCCTGATTTTTACAGTTGAAGAAACTGAGGCAAAGTCAAAGTGACTTGCCCAGGGTCATGCAGAGAGTCTGTGACAAGGCTGGGGCCTGTGCCAGCGGAGCGCCCGAGTAAACACGCACGGCCTGAGTTCTGCGCTGCGGGTTGGTGCGGAAAGTTGCTTGGGGCTGGGCTGCAGTTTGGGCTCTGCAGGTGGTTGTGTTTACAGCAGTGTCCTGGCTTGTCTGGCAGCTGCCAGGGCCTGATAACGGGGCTCTCTAATCAGCAGCAGGCAGGGGAGCAGATGGGAGGGGGCTGAGCTGTGTGGCCCAGGGGCTGCCTGCAGCCGGCTGCTTTTGCATCCCTGGAAAGCAGAGTCCTTCTGTGAATCAGGGCAGCTGTGACTGAGGTTGTGGCCTCCCTGAGGGAGTGATTGGGCCCATCCCCTCCAGGCCGTCCAGACCCAGGACTAGAGAGGCCTTTAGAACGGCCATACCGCTCCGTTTCCCTGCTCCAGGCCTCAGTTTCCCCATCTGGCCCAGGACCCTGTCTCCGATCTTGGCTTGGTGCTGGCTAGTTCAGGATCCTTCTCCGGGATGCTGCTCCAGCCTAGCAGTGCATCCGCGCTGGATCGGACCCCGACTCTCCTGTCTGTGGATGGCGGGGGGACTAGAGAGGCCTTTAGAACGGCCATACCGCTCCGTTTCCCTGCTCCAGGCCTCAGTTTCCCCATCTGGCCCAGGACCCTGTCTCCGATCTTGGCTTGGTGCTGGCTAGTTCAGGATCCTTCTCCGGGATGCTGCTCCAGCCTAGCAGTGCATCCGCGCTGGATCGGACCCCGACTCTCCTGTCTGTGGATGGCGGGGGGGTTG